ATCGCGCCCATGTCCAGCCCCTTGCTTTCCCAGGTGGCGGACCGCGCGAAATTCTTCTACGCGGTGCCAGCGGTCCAGAAGGGCCCCAGCTTATTCAAGAAGAAGGATCTTGTCGGTCGGGACGCTTGCCAGCAGGATTGGGCCGACTTCCAGAAACTCGTCGCCGATGGCGGAGACATCGGCGCCGTCGCCCATCGCCTTCGTAGTTTTAAGTGGCTGCTCACCCCTGCTGAGCAGGAGCAACTCAACAGCAGCATCAAGGACCGCGTCAAACGTAGGAGTTCTGAGCTGATGTCGCGCAAGGCTATTCAGGACGGGGATGCCGGGAGCGGCCCTCCCTCTAAGAAAGGGAGGGCCGCGGGCTCGAAGGCCCCGAGCGGGTCAGAGGCTAAACTGGTCACGGCGTCCCTGGCGCCTGCAGGCAAGAAGGCTGCTTGGACCCCTAGTTTAGGCAGCGGCGCTTCTAAGAAGGAGGTCGAGGCCGTCCAGGGCTCGAACGATGCCTACAAGAGCAAGCTTAAGGCTCTTTTCAAAAAGAAGGCGGTGTAAAGGCCAAGTTGGGGACGGGGGCGGGGGCAGGAGGGAGGGGGGAACACGAATGGGGTGGGGATCGCAGTTCAAACTGTTTCTGGGGCGCGGCTGGCCACAAAGGTCAGCGATAGCATGCAGGGGCGCTCGCGGGCTAGCGCGGTCAGTGGTCGATGACCGCGGCTCCAGGGGGCGAGCTCCTTCAAGCTTCAGTGAAAAAACATATCCGTCCAGTCTGCTGGTCGTCTGGGGGCGGATCACAATCGTCGCTGGCTCTGTGCTGTCGTAGGCTCGTTGTCGTGCGCGGTGGTTCCGCATTTCCGTATTTGTTAGGCTTGCGCCACTTTTCCGACCCAGTGCAAAAGGATATTCGCGACAGTGTCGTGCCGTTTCCGAGACCCCATGGGATGGGGTGGCAACCGAGGAGCACGGGGGAAATGGGGGTGGGGGAGTGGGGGACCAGAAGCACGACCAGGAGAAAAAGGCGAGATGATCACGAGGGTGACAGTGAGGAGGGAGGTGGAGGGAGGAGAGAGGGCGAGGAGGAGGGCGAGGAGAGCAAGGAGGAGCAGGGCGCGAGTGAGAACGAGGAAGCGGAGGAGCAAGACGAGAAGGAGGAGGAACACATGATGCTGCATCGATGTCTCGGCGTGTTAGCTGCCAGGCGTTTTGTTGCAAGGCGGGCGTATTAGTGAGTATGTTGGATCGTCTTCGGGCCGTCAGAAGCCTTTCAGAGGTGTTTTCGGGGCTCTCTTTGGGTTCTGCGAGGGCCCATTGCGGTATTCTTGGCGTCCCGACGCGAGGATCGTTACGGGTCGCGGGAGTTGGCCAGGCCGTCTGGTGGCGCGCAGCGGTCGTCATGGAGCGGTCTTTGGGCCATGGTGGGGCAGTCTTTTTGCCGTTGTGGACGCTGGCTGGGGGCCACCAGGGCCGCGTTGATTTCACAAACGGGAGACATTGAAGCCTCCTGGGTTGTTTTGGGGCCTCGGATTCATCTTGGACGCCTTCGGGGGCCGCGAGGGTGCATCTCCGAACAACTCCCGACCGACCGACGCTGGAAATTTAAATCGCAGGAGAGTGTAGAAATTGTCCGCGGCGTTTGCCTGCGTGGCCTCCCCGCAGGGCATCCCGGAGCATTGTTTGATTTATCGGGGCCACGCGGGGCGGGCGTTCAGGCCACGGAAGCCATCGGAGAGCAGCGTTACATGGTTATGTGATGTGTTCAATCCTCGGGCCTTGCCTTCTCAACGTATTTGGGTATTGAAGTCCAGTAGGCATTGCAACTCGTGGTTGGGTTGCTCAGGAACGCTTCAAAAACGCCCTCGGGTGTTCTGCGAGAGCGCCGCGTTGCCCCCGAGACCCCAAGACTAGCCCTGGGGGGCGCAAGACGCTCCAAGAGCCCCCCGCCGCGGTAGAGCATTTGACACAATCGTTTGAGATGGTCTTCCGAGGGGCGCACTGGCGGGTGCCAGGAGAGCCCCGAGAGGTCACCAGAGGCGAAACATGGGGGGGGCCGAGAGCGTTCGAGGAGGGCGCCAGGAGCTCCAAGGCAAGCCCTTGGGGGGCCCAAGAGGGCCCCGACAGCCCCTCCCCGCGGTAGGGCATTTGAAACTGCCGTTTTAGATGCTCCACCGCGGGGGCCCCATGACAATGTCAAGATGGCCCCGAGAGGGTTCCAGGAAGGCCCGAGAGCGCCCCGACATGGCACTAGGAGGGCCCTCGGGGCCCCGAGACAACCCTTTGGGGGCGCAAGACGCCCCGACAAGGCCCCCGCGGTAGAGCATTTGAAACAGCAATCTCAGATTCTCTACCGCGGACCCCCGCGACGGCGCCAGGAGGTCCCCGAGAGGGCTCCAGGAGAGACGAAAAGCGCCCCGAGATCGCTCCAGGAAGGCTCTAGACAACCGCAAGATGAGTTTCGGGGGGGCGCGGGGCGCCCTAAGAACCACGCCCGCGATAGAGCATCTGACACTGGTATTTCAGACGCTCTACCACGGGTTCCCTTGGAGGGTGCCAGAAGGGCCCCGAAACTCCAGGGGCGCCAGAAAGGGCCCCAAGAGCGCTCCAGGAGGGCCCCAGAGGCGCCGAGACAAGTCCCGGGGGGGGGCCAAGAGAGCCTCGAGCGCCCGCCGCAGTAGAGCATCTGAAGCGGCCGTTTCAGATGATCTACCGCGGGGGCCCCAAGAGGGCCCCAGGAGGGCCCCGAGAGGGCTCTAGGATGGCCTTGGGAGTATCCAATGTTCTACCATATAGCGTTGTTTAGGTCTGATTGGCACTACATAGCCCTGCGCGTCACTGTCTGCCTCCCAGGAGCCCTCATGTGGCACTATCTGATTCTATATGTTCCCAAGACTGCGCGGCCTTGATTATTTCATGGCCCCAGCCTTCAACGCGCGCGTTACGGGGGTCGTTTTGGCGTTACGCTGGGGCGCCCCAGTTCGTCGCGGGCAATGGCGAGGGTCTGTGTTGCTACACTTGAATGTCTCGTCGCGCTGCAGCCGCCCGTGCTGTCAAGGGTTCGTTTGGAGAACCCCGCCGCCGAGCATGATTTGTATTGTTCTGGGTCCCGTGGTAACGATGGCGAGCAGCGGCGGTGGCGATGATGACGCTGCATTTGGTTCGAGGTGTTTGTGGGGCCCGTGAGTGCGGTGGACGATTTGATTGATGCTGTAATTGTGCAGATCAGAGGTGGTCGCCATGGTCGCATGTGTACTCACCGCGACGGTGACTATACTATTGGTTATCTTCGGTACTGGCGGTGATGATGGCTATAGACATGGGATGTTTAGCTCAAGCTGGGTACTCGCGAGGGGCGTGGAAGGCGGGCCTGCGCGCCCAGCGCGGCATGCTCTCAAAAAATAAAAAATGTCCACGCAAGTCTTTAGGATTTCGGCGGCTATTTTGGGGGTGATGGTGGCTCCAAAGGACAGTCCTCGGTGACTGAACGGGCTCGCATAACGTAACCATATTTGGACACCGTCAAGGCGGGTCTCGAGGATGCATAATGTCTCGCCCGGAACATTATGAATCTGGGTTTGAATGTTCTGGGAATATTGACTGGGGTTCATAATGTTCCCCCCGGAACTTTATAAACCCTGGTTTACAATGTTCTGGGGATATCGACCCCAAACACATATCAACCTGGGTTCAACATGTTCGGGGAATAATGACTGGGGTTTGCAATGTCCCGGGATAATGAATTCGGTGTTCGTCATTCCGGAATGATATTAATTATCATTTTCCTCCCAACCCCCGGGTTCCTCACCAGATTTTTCATGTCGGAATATTGACCCCGGTTCATTATCCCCAGGAGAGAATAAGCCTGGATTCATAATGTTCCCGGATTATTGACACTGGGTTCATGGTTCTGGAATGATAATGATTGAGCCTGGGGGTCGCCGTTTGGGGGTACGTTTTGGCTTGATATTAACCTTGGTTCATAATGTTGGAATATGAAACTTAGGTTGATCATTCCGGAAAGATCATGATTCGGCCGGGGGGGGCTGAGCCGGATCCATTCACAGGACAATCATCCATAGGGTATCATTTGCAGATAATGAACCGAGGCTTTCATTCCTAGATGATACACCACGGTCGACGATGATTTCAGACCTACCCTCAGTCGACTAGCGATCATTAATGAATTGCACCCCGTCGCTGGCACCGCAGATGTTGCGCGACAGCTGTTGCACCACATAGACTGCACCCCATAGCTTGCATTGCATCCGTCGCTCTAAAACGTTTGCACGACACGTGTTGCACCACATGCTTTGCACCGCGCAGATTTCGCACAGCAGCCTGCATGCAGAGCGGGCCCTTAGGGCCCTCTTGGGGGCACTCTGAGGCTTCCTCCGAGGGCCCAGAGGCCCCAGAGGCCCCTCGGAGATCGCCCATTGCGAGGGCGAGCTGCTGAAACTATCTCAACACACCGAGCTTGTTTCGCATTCTTGGCCTCACGGTGCAGTCTTGGACGGCTCGGGGACACATGCAAAGTTTTTTGCGGGACTTTCGCACGCACGTTTCGGGGTTCCCATCCGCGTAGCCCCGTGTTCTATCCCTCTCGCGATACTCGCAGCTGCATGTGGTTGGGTCTTTCGCCAGGCTAATTGTGGGACGCGGGGGCTCGTAGGGCAATGTTGGAGGTTGTCTAGGCCGGCCTGGGCCAGCCTGCCGGGGCCATCTTGTAACATCTTGGAGGCAGTGTTGAATTGTATGTCGCCATCTTGTAGTTTGTAGGACCGTCCAGGATGGCCCAAGCTGGGATCATTTGGAGGACTTAGCACGCTAAACCACCTACGTATGCTCATAGGGTTTGATGAAATCAGTCGTATCCGTGCGTCCTCTTGGTCCTTGCTCACGGGCGCCACACGTTTTGTGCAATGGTATCAGGCCTCGCCACATTGGCATTAGTCATGTGTCCTGTCATCTTGGATATCATCTAGCCGTGTTATGGCGATGGCCGTAGCTCCGAGGACCAGCAGTCGATGCAGCAGTTCCAGATGCAGCAGCAGCAACAGCAGCTGTTGCAATTCCAGCAGCAGGCGATTGTCCCTGGCTCTTCCCATCTCCCCCCTTTCTCTGTCCTTGCCCTTCATTCTCAACCCCTTCGCTCTTCTCCTCTTCCCCAGCCTGCTTTCTAGCCCATGCCCCATGGCGTACCAGGCCCAAAAGAGCCCACACCAAGCCCCATGCCTCCACTGAGGAGGATCGGCCGCCTGTTCCCGACCCTTTTTCCTCTCCTCTCAGCTCTTCTTCGCCTCTTCTCAACTCTCGTCCCCCTTCTGCCCCCTTGCCTCCTCCCCTCGTCCCCCACGTCCCCGCCCCGCTGCCTCTGTCCTCCTCGTCCCCCACGTCGCTCGTCGTGCTGTGCCTTTACATCCCTCGTGGCCGTCTTTGTCAGGTGCAGGGCGACGGATCACGTCGATGGGTCTTCGCCGTGGAGGTCGTTCGACCGCGTCTCCTCCTTGAGACGTTGGCCACGTCGACCCCGCACGTGCACATATCGTCCATCGATCCTTCAGGTGGGACCCGCCCCTGGAGAGATTTTATCCCGCGCCCCTCTCCCATCTGAGCAATTTCGGGGCACAGGGGAGGCTCACCGGGACAAAGTTCAAGTTATTACGCCGAGGGGTCCGTCGCAGGCGCAGCACCAGCAGCAGCACCTGCACCAGCAGCAGCCGCAGCTTCAGCCGCAACAGCAGCAGCGGAACCAGCAGCAGCCCAACGGCTTTCCGGCGCAAATGCAGCCGGGCCAGATGCAGCAGATGCACCCGCTCCAGCTCCAGCAGGCGCCCCACGAAGATGAGGGCGACGTCGGCGGCGAGCAGGACAGTGACGACGAGAACGACGACGAGAATGAGAACGATGACGACCACTGCTGTGTTTCGCTTATGCTGCAGATTTTTTGGGCCATGCGCCAATCTTGGTGCACGGCAGCCCGTTGCCATCACGACCGATTTGCGCGAGCGCTGGGTCCGCGGCAAACAAAGGGTCTCTCTCGGTCTGTCTGTCTGTCTGTCTGCCTGCCTGCCTGCCTGCCTGCCTGTCTGGCTGTCTGTCTGTCTGTCTGTCTGTCTGTCTCTCTGTCCGTCTGTTTGTGTGTGTGTGTCCTGTCGCGCCGGGGCTCCTCCTCCTCCTTCCGTGCATTGCGGCCTTCACTTGCACACAGCGTGCCCCCTGTTGCCACTCCGCCGAACAGCCGCCCTGTGCCCAGCCGCCGGCGCAAAAGTGTGTGTGTGTGTGTATGTTTGTGGGTGGGGGTCAGTGGCAGTGGCCTCGCGCGGCTGCCATCCTGCACCGAGGCCGTGGCCCGATCCGTGGGCGTCTGCCGCGCCCACGGGTGCCTCCCTCCTCCTCCCGCCCCTCCCCTTCCTCCCACCTCTCCTGCTCCTCGTCCTCCCTCTCGTCCTCTCCCTCCCCCTCCTGCTCCTCCTCCTCCTCCTCCTCCTCCTCCTCCTCCTCCTCGTCCTCCTCGTCCTCCTCGTCCTCCTGCTCCTCCTCCTCCTTCTCCTCCTCCTTTCCCTCCTCCTCCTCCTCCTCCTCCTCCTGCTCCTCCTGACGGGGAGTTTGGAAAAAGCCAGCACTGCTCACGGGACGCCCTCCTGTAACTCTTGCGCGTTGTGCAGCGGTTGCCCTGACACGCGTGGTACACAAGAGTGGTACACCAAGTCGCTGGTCTCACAACGGGGCTGAGGCGCCCCGAAGCCATCTTTCAAGCAGTGGCGAAGCGTCCTGGCTCGCCTATAGTCCTACCGAACAATGTTCTAAGAACTGTTTGTTCCCACGAGATGTTCTTAGAACAGTTCTGGCCAGGACTGCCTTGTTTTATCACATCGGGCTTATGTTCCAAGACCATTGTTTCTATTCGAACAGTTTTGGGTTCTAAGCACATTTTGTGGTAGGACTATGAGAATGCCAGGACGGTGGGTCCCTGCTCAAGCACGGGCGCAGTTCAGTCGAGTCGTGGCCCGAAACTTCTCGCAAACCACGGAGTGCTTCCGCTAGCCGCTGGCCAGTGCGTTCGGCTGTCGTGCAACATCCGACTGGACTGGCCGGTGCGCGCGTGGTCTGCCCCCGGCGGTTCGGACCGGCGCTTTCGCGGGTTGAACCCCTTCGCTGCGCAGCAGCTCGCTCGCCCGCTCTGCCTTCAGCCCCGTCGGGGACCGCAGATGGACGAACGTTTTGGTGATCGTTTTTTTCTCTTCCCAAGGGTAACGCCCGTTGCCCGGGCCAAGCCCCCCCCATCCCCGGGTACCGGTAACGATCCTACAAGGGCGGTGGCATGGGCCCCTGCCTACATGCTGCGGTGCACGGAGGCGATTGATGCGCTAGTTGCGCGGATGCACCCTGGCGTTTTCACGCCGCGGCCGCCGTTACCGTTCATTACCCTCCCGCGCGAACCCTCCCGATCGTTACCCGACAAAAAAGGGTCACTTGGAACCTTGGTCTCCAAGCCAGGCTAGCGGACCTTGAGCAAGGACTGACCGTCCCAGCATTCGTATAGGCCTACCACGACATGTTCTTAGAGCCCCACCAAAACATAACAATGACGTTTTTCTCGAAACATAAACCCGATGTACTAAACTAAGACAGTCTCAGCCAGAAATGTTCTAAGAACAATTCGTGCAAGCCACAAGGTTCTTATAACATTCTTTGGTTGGCCTGCAGCAAGCCAGGACGCTTCGCCACGGCTTGAGTACCGAAATCAGCGAGGACTACTCCCAAAGGAGACTTCCGGCACGATCGCGACCGCCGAAGCGAAGGCGCGGGCCCCGCCGCGGATCCGCGGCTGACCCTCGTCCAAGGCTGGGGCCGCAGCGGCGGGGGCGGAGCCCTCTATGTGTCCCAGATGGGGTCCGAAGTGGTTCGAAGAACATAAACTTTTGGCGCTCCGCGTGGGTTTCTTGGATCCGCGCTGGGCTCCTCCCGGCGGCGCCTCTGGTGCCGCCCGCCCCTGGCGCGCTCCGCGCACCAGGAGGGGGATCCAGCGCAGATCCAAGGTATCCACGCGGAGCGCCAACAGTGAATGTTTAGGCCGTTTTTTTCCATAGATGGGGTCGGAGGATCGCGCCGCATCGCCGATGCATCGGCATTGCATTTGCGATGCGGTTCGATGTGGGGTTCCGTTTTCTCCACACCGACGTCGCCGACATCGCCGGTGCATCGCCAGTGCATCGCCGATGCATCGCTGATGTATCGCCGGTGCGGCGCGATCCTCCGACCCCATCTACTCGGACCCCATCCAGGAGGCCTCTAATTAGTGAGGGCGGAGGGCCAGATTCCAGCAATTCGTTGATGCCGCGGCGTCGCGCGGCGAGCGCGCCAAGCTCAGAATTCTTCGCATATTTTTTGATTTGCATAATTACGCGCGGCTTGCCAGTTCACCGAAGGCCACCGACATGCTCTTTTCCCCCTGCCCCTCCCGCCCCTTCGATCCCGGCCGCGGGGCCCAGGGGAAGAAGCCGACCTGGAGCGCAATGATGACGACGGCGCCGGGAATCGGGGCCAGCGTCCTGGACCCTGACCCCGCCGATCTGCGTGAGGGGTGCCACCGAATTTCAGAAATGTAGCAAATCCCTTGTGTTTTTGGACCCTGACCCCGCCGATCTGCGTGAGGGGTGCCGATTTTACCCCCCCAGGAATTCTGAGAACCCTCCCGGCTAACCGGGGTGGTTTTCGGTTCCCCCCCTCGCGCGGACAGTAACAATTTTTCAGTAGGAAGCAGAAATCAGTACTGTAACAATTGAAACTGGAAACTGGAACTGGTGCAGGGAGCAGCAAGCCTAAGCCTTGCAGCCTGATGGCCCCGCAAAGGGGCCGGCGGAAATGCGTCCGGTTCTCACTCGCCCGGTTTAAAGTCATCCGGTTTTAATTTGCCCGGTTTGAATTCATGTGGTATTCATCCCCCAAGTTTCCACACGAATTACGCAAAGCAAGAGCAGACGAAACCGAAGCGGACGAAACAACAGCGGATAAAGCAAAAGAGGACGAAACAAAAGTGGACGAAACAACAGCGGACGAAACAAAAGCGGACGAAATAGAAGCGGACGAACTACAAGCGGACAAAACAACATTCCACCACGCAAGGAGGGTGGGCTTTCTCAGAAGGCTCGGAAGTCCCCGAGCTTTCTGAACAGTTTCCTAAGCCTACCCCGAAGACACGAAAAACCTATCCGAAGGCGCGAGGGTTTCTGAGAAGCCTTGCCGCCTTCTAAGAAGGCCTTCTCTTTCTCACGTCCCCCCCTCGCTCGCCGACGATCGTCGACCGAGTACGTCGGTGCGTACGGGTACAAGTACCCATCGGCCGTTGAAACTTGGGATTCCCAGGGGCCAATCTACTTTAAGGCGCCTTCTTACTTCAATGATCGAGTGGCTTTACCTTGTCCGTCCTCCGTAGGGGGCGGGCGGACGCCCAATCTACTTCCAACGCCTTCCTACTCCATGTTTCGACCTACTTCATCCGACCGATGGGTAATTGCGCGCCGCGCATCGCGGTGCGCGTTGCGCGACGTCAGGTGCCCCAAGGGAAGGAGCAGCTCGGGTTCGGAGGGGGCCCGCCGTTCCTTGAGTATTTCCACGGTTGCGCCTCCAGCGGTTGGGTGTTCCCAGGGTTGTTCTTGTGGTATTTCCGAGGCGTTTTTCTTAGACGTTTCCACAGTTGCTCGTGCACGCTGGCGGTCTTGGGAACAAGAAGGGTCTTCGTTTCTTGTTTGGCGTTATGTCGGACATGCTTCCCTGTAGGAGGAATATGCAAAACTAGTTCAACACTAGGGACGATGTTTCGACTTCCCCAATCAGTGCTTGCACTGAAGGGGTCCTAGCGAATGTTGAAGGAGTTGGCGAAAGTTCCCCGCCGATTTTGGTGGCAGGCCGGGTTCCCGGGTTTCTCATGATCGACCTCATAATCGTCCTCATTATCGATTCTATTATCGATCTCAGTATCGATCTCACAATCGATCTCAAGCTCTCCAGCATCGATTTTCAAATCCTCTACTGATTTGGGGCTTTCTCAGGTGTAACTCTTTTGACGCCGCCTGTGCTT